CTGCAGCTGCCAAAAAGGCCAACACAGTGCTAGGCTGCATTAACAGAGGGATAGAATCAAGATCACGTGAAGTGTTAATACCACTTTACAATGCCTTAGTAAGGCCACACTTGGAATACTGCATCCAGTTTTGGTCACCGCGATGTAAAAAAGATGTTGAGACTCTAGAAAGAGTACAGAGAAGAGCAACAAAGATGATTAGGGGACTGGAGGGTAAAGCATATAAGGAACGGCTGCTGGAATTGGGTATGTCTAGTTTAATGAAGAGAAGGACGAGGGGGGACATGATAGCAGTGTTCCAATATCTCAGAGGCTGCCACAGAGAAGAGGGAGTCAAGCTATTTTCCAAAGCGCCTGAAGGCAGGACAAGAAGCAATTGGTGGAAACTAATCAAGGAGAGAAGCAACCTAGAACTAAGGAGAAACTTCCTGACAGTGAGAACAATTAACCAGTGGAACAACCTGCCTCCAGAAGCAGTGAATGCTCCAACACTGGAAGTTTTTAAGAAGAGACTGGACAGCCATTTGTCCGAAATGGTATAGGGTTTCCTGCCTGAGCAGGGACTAGATGACCTTCAAGGTTCCTTCCAACTTTACTATTATTATTATTATATCTGGAACCAAATGGTACAGCAAAAGTACCACAGGTAATCCCTCAACTTACCACAATTGAGCCCAAAATTTACATTGCTAAGTGAGACATTACTTAAGTGAATTTTGCCCTACTTTATGATCCTTCTTGCTCGAGTTAAGTGAATCATTCAGTTGTTAATAATAGTTAAGTGAATCTTGAGCTTTGCTTGTGAGAAGATCAAAAATGATCACATGACTAAAGGACCCTGCTGTCATATGAACCATTTGCCAAGCATCTGACTTTTGATCACATGACCATAGGAATGCTGCAATAGTTATGTGAAAAACAGTCATAAGTCACTTTTTTCAATACCACTGTAACTTTGAATGGTCATTAAGTAAATGCTTGTAATATGTATAAGGACAATGGTTTCACTGCACTGCTGAAAACCTCCCCTCTCAAAAAAGTAGTATTAGTTCACCCTACGTTAACTAATTCGTTATGGTGCTATGACATTTTCCCTTTTTTAGCATTTTATGGTATAAAAATAGGTTAAAAAATAGATTCCATAGCCTTTGTTTTGCAATTCTTTTGATTCTAGATTAATTACTGTAGTTAACACCTGCTCCATCAGGTTGAATTTTGAAAATAGCTATAATTATATTTTTCCTGCCTCCATAAACCCTCTTATACAGGATATTTTCTGTAAATGTTAAAACAGTGAGCAACAGCTTAAAACTGTTTCATCCATTTTACAACTCCAGCAAAGAAAATTCTGTTGTGAATTTAATCCACCTACTTCTGCTGGGTTTAGAGACAGGAATAATAACTTGAACCAAATGATTTCATTTTATTTAATCTAGCATCTCCGAAACAAGAGAAGCCTAATGGCATTTCTAATAAACCTGATAGGCCTCTGATTTAATCATAAATTGACTAGAGATTCTTTGAGTCTATCTGCTGAGTATTCTAATATAATTATAAGACAGCTCCCTTTTTCTCACTTGTAATCTAAGTGACTATTTTCCCAAACTGCTACACCTCCAGATAAGTCTGAGTACAATACAAACCCCAGAATTTTTAGCCAGAACATCAGTAGCTGACCATATGGGAAATGAAAGCCCCACCATGTAAATGAGGAATACTATTTTGGAGGCGACATCTTTCTAGGCTAATTTATTAGCCTGCACAATTTTGGCACAAATTTTGGGAAATAACCTCTCTTTAGAGCAGCGGGACCTACTTCTGATATATACTATCGGTAGTATGATTTAACGTTCCTTAAAAGTGATTAGATTTGTGAGGTAAATAAAAAAAAGCTATAATCCAGGTATGCGAGAGATGAAGTCCTCTTCTTTGGGTGGGTTTAAACGAAATTTAGAAGCCATCCCTCTGAGACCTTTCAAACGGGTGAGCTCCAGGATTCTCGACCTGTCTAGCTGAAGAACAAGACAAAGAACAGCACAAAATGCCTGCCGAACAGCCCTGCACAACCCCCCCCCCCCCCTCCCCTAGCGGGCGATGAACCGCCACCTGGGGATGAGGTACGTCGCGGAGGCAGCACAGACCAGCCTGAACCTTAAAGTTACCAATCCGCGCTTTTGAAGTCCGGCTGACAGAAGTGGGGAAAAAAACCGTTAGGCTTCCAAATTAGTATTCCGTGCGTGCCTGCGTGCGACCAGTCAGGAGGAGCTAATAGGGTTGACGTAGATTTAAAGGCGCCGAAAGAAAAAAAAAAGAGAAGATCCCTCCCAACTTTCTGCCCCGCTGCGTCACTCCTGGAGGACGTCACAGGCGTCACGCGGTTCTAAGCCAAACCGTCCTGCGCGAGAGACTGGCTGATGTCACGTTCGGAACTTAGGGGCGGGGTTGACTCGTTGTCCTTTCTCTCGTATACCGCTTTCTGGGAAGGCGTGGCTTGTTGCGGCCCAGGAAGGTGGGGCTGGAATAGGTGGCCGGATGAGGTCGGAATTAGTTTAGCCCCTCCCCTTCTCGTATCAACTTCCCCCAGACCCAGCCCGGCATATTGAACACTTGAATTCCCATGATGCTGTGCTGGCCAGGAATTATAGTTGCTTGAACTCTAACTCATCCGGAGAGACAGGAGGGATCGGATAGCAGGTCTGTCACATAATTTTAAAAGAGAGGGAAAAGTCCCGGGGATCCGAAGCTAGTTGTCAGAGCTAAGCTGATAAATCTCTCACCAGTGCAATTTTACCTGGGTTCACTTAGAATTCAGCAAAGGGATTTACCCTCAGGTAAGTACGGATAAAATTGCATGCTAGGATGGCTGTGCTGGAAAAGATTTGAACAGGGAATTGAAAGCTTTGTAAAAAAAAAAAATGTTTAAGTAACCATTGGTCTCTTGATTTGTTTTGCTTTTTCTTTAATCGTTTGCCTACTAACAACCTAACGCTGTTGTAGACTAAAGAATGGTGGGATGTTTGCTTGGTTCCAAGAAACGCATTTTACGATTGCTATTCTTGTGTACTTTTCCTTTTTATCTTATCTTTATGTCTATCCTTATTTTCATCATTCTCAGGAACTATGAAATTCAGAAGCCACATCGCATGGGAGAATGATTCCTGGGTTGGAAGAGCAAAGAAAAGAGATGGTCTTCATTTTTCCCTTCCAGGAATAATGGCCAGTTTTCTTAAAGGCATTTGGCTGCTTTTGGTCTTGTCCCAATTCAGCAAAAGTCATTTTATATCTTGCTGGCTGTATAATACTGATAAAAGATATTATCAACATGCTCAAAGACATAGTAGGCAAAGAATCATGAATCAGCATCTTTTTTGACTATTGAATTTTATTAAAGCTCTCATAAACTTTTATCTTTCAATCAAATGAATCAGTTACATAGAAAAAGTGCTAGCAGATTTTTGTGGAATATGTTCAAAGTATTTGCGTGTTCTGTGTCCCTCTATTCAAATGATGTAGGTAATGAAGCCTTGCAGAAATGTAAATTGTAGCTTCAGTTTATATTGTATTCTCTGTAAATCTGAATGTTGCACAAAATCACATCTTTGGGGGTATTTAGATAAGATAATCTTTAGTGTCATTTTTATACTGTGGGCACAATGGCACACATCAAAAATGAAATTTAATTGCCCGCTCTCAAAGTGAAGTATACATGACACACACCTAAACATACTATGAACAACATACGTATAGACCCACATCCCTACATATACGTAGCAATAAATATTAAATATTGTCCATCTTGAATATATAACAGAAGGAGGAAGCTTGAGAGTTCAGAAGGTTAATGCTTTTATGGAATAAAACTCTGGCTAAATCTGGATGTTCTGCTTCGGATACCACGAAGCCTCCTCCCAGAAGGTAACAAGGAAAACAGGTCATGAAGAGGATATGTAGTGTCTCAGATAAACTTATGGACCCTGCTCAAGCAGCGCTTCTGTGCTATGTCCTGGATGGGAGGGAGGGAACTGCCAATGATCTTTTCGGCCATTCTCACCACTCTCTGCACTGCCTTCCTGTCTGAAGCAGTGATGCCTCCAAACCAGACTGATGCTGTAAGACAGGATGCTCTCGATTGTCCCCCTGTAGAAAGTGGTCAGGACGGGGGAAGGAAGGTGTGCTTTTCTCATGCGGCGCAGAAAATGCAGGCGCTGCTGTGCCCGCTTCACCAGTTTCTCACTGTTGAGCGACCAAGTCAGCCTACTCGTTAGCTGCACACCCAGGAATTTGATGCTGGTAACCATCTCCACAGGTGAATCATTTATGCACAGAGAAGTGTGGCTGTGCCTGCCTTTTCTGAAATCAACAATGATCTNTTCTGGAGGCAGGTTGTTCCACTGGTTAATTGTTCTAACTGTCAGGAAGTTTCTCCTTAGTTCTAAGTTGCTTCTCTCCTTGATCAGTTTCCACCCATTGCTTCTCGTCCTGCCTTCAGGTGCCTTGGAGAATAGCTTGACTCCCTCTTCTTTGTGGCAGCCCCTGAGATATTGGAACACTGCTATCATGTCCCCCCTCATCCTTCTGTTCGTTAAACTAGACATACCCAATTCCAGCAACCGTTCCTTATGTTTTAGCCTCCAGTCCCCTAATCATCTTTCTTGCTCTTCTCTGTACTCTTTCTAGAGTCTCAGCATCTTTTTTACATCGTGGTGACCAAAACTGGATGCAGTATTCAAAGTGTGGCCTTACTAAGGCATTGTAAAGTGGTATTAATACTTCACGTGATCTTGATTCTATCCCGCTGTTAATGCAGCCCAGCACTGTGTTGGCTTTTTTGGCAGCTGCAGCACACTGCTGGCTCATATCTAAGTGATTGTCCACTAGGACTCCGAGATCCCTCTCACAGTTACTACTATTGAGCAAGATACCCCCTATACTATACCTGTACATTTGGTTTTTCTTGCCTAAATGTAGAACTTTACTTTTTTCACCATTGAATTTCATTTTGTTAGATAGCGCCCAGTGTTCAAGTCTGTCCAGGTCCTCCTGTATCCTAAGCCTGTCTTCTGGAGTGTTGGCTATTCCTGCCAGCTTGGTGTCATCTGCAAATTTGATGAGTTCCCCATCTATCCCCTCGTACAGATCGTTGATGAAGATGTTGAAGAGCACTGGGCCCAGAACAGAGCCCTGGGGCACCCCACTACAAACTTCCCTCCATGTAGATGCGGTTCCATTGAGGACCACACGCTGAGTACGGCCGGTCAGCCAGCTACGAATCCATCTGGTGGTGATGCTGTCTAACCCATATTTTTCTATCTTAGCAGACCCTGGATTGTTCTCAAAAGAATATTTCCAAATATTGCAGATGGAGAAGTCTAAAATGGCCTTGTCAATTTGAAAAACAGTTAAAAAAAGTCAAAAGCAATGTAACATAATAAGTGTATTATTCCCTAAGAATTAACATTTCTGTATGCTCTGTTCTTGTATCTTATGACTTCAATGAGTCTTTATTTGGGGGGAATAAGTAGTCAGCAGCCTTTTGACAAAGAAGGTCCTTTTTAGAGTCTCAGAAGATGTCTGGTCTAGGATTGAATAATAAGGGCACATACGAATAGTTTGAGAATTCTTTGCTAAATCATTATTTTGAGTGAAAAATATTCCCAAATTTAAATCTAAAAAGATTGCATTGGAACTTTAGTGCTAAAAATAAAGCTTGGGGAATAAGAACAAAATTGTCCTTTGCAAGTAGATTCTTAGCACTTGGCATGAAAAATAAAAATATTTTATTCCTATTACAACAGCATCTGACACATCTATTTCTGTGGAGTTGAATGGAACTTACTTCTGAATGTGTGCATGTTTCATGTATTAAAACTGCAGATAGCCCTCTTTAATATTACATTCCTTCTTGGTTACACATTTCAGAGAAAACAAGGATGTCTATCATTGGACAGGAGAAATTGAACCACTCTAATTTTCCATACTTTTCTATCAAATGTAAATTGTTATGGCTCCTTAGAGAATAAAATCAGTATACAACTATGTAATTCCATGATGATTACCCCAATTTTTAGTAAATGACTTTTTAGAAAAATCTCTAGTACTCTGTTCTGGGATATCTCCTCTTCAAAAATCACATACAGTATTTTTCCTGCTTTTAGAAATTATACGTATAATATTACATGTCAGATTTATCACATTATAGTATGCATATTGCATATAGTATGCAAAGATGAAGAGGAAATGGACTTAGAAATAGTCTAGAACTACTTTGAATTATCTAGCAATTAGTTGTAATAGTAATTGTAATATTACTCTTACAATTAATTACTTTAAACTGCAGGTAATGCCCATATCCCATATTATACAAAGTTATATATCCCCCACATACAGACATTTACTTTGGGATTATTAGTTTCTCCAGGTGACTCTGGTTCCATTTAAATATGTTTAGGATCAGGTTGTAGTATGTAGTTATTAATATTTTTAATAATGAATCAAATCCCAGTATTGTAGGATGACATGGTTACTCTACTTCAATGAAAAAATGAAATGGCGTAGAGTTATGTGTGACATACAATAAAACCACCAATAAATCTTTTTGCAAAAATAATTTTTCTATCTTTCACTCTACATTTAAATTTAATGAGAGCTTTTATTTTATCCAACATTATTTTTTGATGTCTTTTTTTTTTCAAAAGTCAAAGATGAAAAATTCTATATTCAAAGGTACATTTGCTTTAGGAACAAATTCATATTTACTCTCCTATGAGGGTACTTGCATTTGATTAGTACATCTGCATAAGCACTGATACTTTGTTTTACCCTTTCTTATTTATTTTCCTTGTTTATTCAATTATATCCTAGCAATCATGTTTCAAGTTGGTAAGTTAGATTAACTTTGCTCTCATATGTTGGAACAAAAAAGTAGTGCTATCCTTCAATATTTGGAGATGTCTGGTTGAAATCCGGCAGAAAAAGCATGGCCACCATCTTTTTGCTTTGCAGCAACTGTTATTACATAAGCATATCTTTTCAAATGCATTATTCAGAACTTATATTTTCCTCAACCCTCCAAAAACAACAAATATGCAACCATAACCATAACTTTCAAGAAAAGCTCACAGCTGTAAAAATCTCCACATGCTATTGATTTTTCCTCTCGTCACCAAGGCACTAAAGGCAACAAAGGAGAACAGTGGCTTGCTGCCTGGGAAGATTTTGGAGGATCTGAAGGCTTCCTTTTATATTTTTTTACGATCAGCCTTTCCTTGAATAACTTCCAATTACAGCAATCAATCAGCTTTTTGAAGATTCCCAGACTAATACAGACAAATGCATGTGCTAATAAACACAAAGGTAATTTTTTATATTTATTTTATTAATCACGTCTACACAGCTGCCCATTTTACAAAAAACAATCTTGGGTGGGTGTACAATTGAATAAAATATATAAAACAACTATTATAAAAATATTAAAAAAGTCAATTAAACAAAATACTATTAAAATTACAATATGCATACCACAAAGTACACAGAGAGAAAATGTATCAATCACAGTGGAGCTATCTAAACTGAGCCATATTAGGCTGGGTGATGTTCTTTACAGTCTTGCAGTCAGCTGAGAAAAATCAGGTTTGGATAAAGAAAAGAGGGTAAGCACTGTTTGGGGAATTGCATTATTTTTATGTCTTTTGTATTTCATAATATTTCAAGACCAAAATGGAGACCTCAAATTAATTACAAACTGTCTTAAAGAGGGTTTAGTAAATAGGAATATTGGAGGTATGGACCTTTGTCTTTTTTCTGGGAAAGTGGTCAGACTTGTATCCAAACATTGAACAGAACATTCACAATTTTTTAAAAAAATACTTTCTAAGAATTCTCATAAAACTAATGTTTCATGAGACATTTTTCAAAATAAACCTTGTGCTGGAGTTGGCATTTTGCTTTCAGCCAACCAACTTTTCATTTTTCTAAATTGAAAAATATTTTTAAAAATGAAAGGTGAATAGGAAATTTGGCAAGCACTGAGCCTAAGGATACCAAGTTATCTCCTCCTGAGCTGTAGCAATGTTACACATTATGTCTGCTATCTAGTGCTTCAGTCTTCATGGACTCTTGGCTGTTTTAGAGATATTAGAAAACAATAAACTAGCATGACATTTTAAAACTTCAATAACATCATTATTATGACTTTAAGTTCAAAAATGAGAAAATAATTCCAATATATGTTGAGTCACCAAGGGTTTTTCAAAGAAGCTTTGAGGAATATAATTCATAAAAAAGTTGTTAGGGCTACTTATATCATTTTAAATATTTCTTCCTTAAAAATACTTTGAAAAGCACAATCGATGCTGCTGAATTATTTGCAAGCTTTGTTACTTAGAAGAATTTCTTTTCTTCCATTAATATATAGGAATATTCCCTTGACAAACCTGAAATGCTTTGAAGATAGCATTAATCTTGAATAGATTCTTTATGGAGACTTTCATCAACAATGTTTTTCCATGTACAGTATTTGTGGGGTTTTGGAACACA